GTTTGTTTCTTAGTATAACTATTTGAATTTTTAATTTTAAATAGACGGTTGTATAATAATTGTTTTTATTGAACTAGAAATAAATCTAAATTACCAGTAATAATATGTTTATGAAAGTAGCAATAAATAAAGTATTTTCACACTCACAAGGTAGATTATTAACTTTATCTACCTTTAAATTAGTTTAAAAACGTATAATTGGATAAAAGTGGATTGGAATTTCATATTTATACCTAATGGTAGGCTTTAAATTTTTACAAGGTTACAGTTAGGGTAGAGAAAATAATAGAAAATACAGTTTTACTGAAAAAAAAATGTTTGAAGTGTATGTAGGAGGTGTTAGTGATTATGCAAATGGCATTTGAGATTTTTGAGATGAAGAAAAGTATTTTTAATCTTAACATGAAAATAACTTTATAGTCGGAGTGGTCACAAAGACTCGATATATTCACAAACAAATCTTTAGTAAAAACACTTCATTAAAAAAATTGATCTTTTGTGTTCAAATGACTTGTAATATTTACTAAAAGTTTGCCAAATTTCATCAGGGGACTTTTACAGACAGTCACCGATATAAACTAAAAAGAGCAAAGATCGTAACATTGAGACCTGAGGTTCCCCATTCATGACAGTAATCCAGTTTGACTGAACTCCATTTATAACAGCCCTCATTATTTTAAGTTGTTCCTTGTCTAATACTTTCTGAAAAGCTAGATACACTAAAACCACACCCTTATCCATATAACCAGTAATTTCTTCAAAAAATGTCAAAATATTAGTAAGGTCAGACACTATGCTGACTATCTGGTAAACTTTTAAACTTTGTTAAATTATTTTACAAAACACCTATCACTAGACTTTAAAAAACTTTTTCACCACTGATGTAACACTAATAGGCCTATAATTATTGGGACAATTTTCATCATATCCCTTGAAGAGAGGAGTAACTTTAATCAACTTCCAATCCTGTGACATCTGCCCATTATTGAAGGTCTTATGTAAAATAGTAGTAAGTGCTTCATGTATCTAATACTTAACCTCCTTCAAAATTATTGGGGAAATAACTATCTGTCAGCGAAGCTGTATCAGTCTTTAAATTTCATTTTATTTTGTTTATAACTAGCTTAGAATTAATGTGATCATCTTGTTCAAATGTTCAAAATAATGAATATTGTTTAAATTTTCATTAGTAAAACTTGGAAGAATAAAGTAGAATTTAATAATCCAATCCCAACATAATCATCATTTATCCCTCAAAGGTTCTACTCCCATCCAAACATTTTGCTCACCCTTACTGTATTTAAAAAAATCCTTGTGGTTAGTTTTTACATTTTCAGCCAACTTTTTTTCATATACTCCTTTAGATTTCCTAATTTTTGTTTGACCAATTCTCTTGATCTTCTATACTCCTTTATGCCTCCCATCATAGCAGTAAGTTTATTCTTAAACTTATGATGATATTCTTTCATTTTATTCCTGAAATCCTTTTTTAGCCAACCTGGTTTTTTTTACTTGCAGCTACCCTTTTTTGTCTATAAAGAACATTTCTATCTTGAACACTCAAACATTTATTGTGATTTTTTTTCCATATTTGATCAGTAACTCAATTCATTTGCCCAATTCACAACAAATAATTTTTTGTCACATTCCTTCAAAATTTGCTTTTTTAGAACTTGTAATAAAAATCTCATTATTCATGATCTCCATTTGCAGTAAAACATCAAACCAAATTAAAAAATGATCAATTGCATCTAGATGTTCCTCAATCCCACCATCTCAACATTTCACATTAACAATAAACCTGAAATGGCATTGTTACTAGTAGGCTCCTTGACCAATTGAAGAAAACTATCTTAAAATGTTTCAAAAATATGACTCCCTCACGATTTGACTCTAACATTTTCAAACCTATATGCCTGAAATTAAAATCCTTTATAATTATGAATTCATTAACAACTGAAAGTTTCTCCTTAATTTAAGTATCGTCTGGTGGTCCATTATAAATTCCAACCAAAAACCTTCTCCCCTATGTTCACCAATAGAAACCCAAACAGATTCAGTATCCTTGCTATTAGCTTTGATATCCTCAACTTCAACAGGACGTAACTCACATTTTACATATAAAATCACTTCTCCCACTCTTTAATACTCTTATCCCTCTTAAATAATCTATACAACATATTCAAAATTGTCAGAGAAACACATAGGTTCAAGAAGTCTTAATGTAAAACAATAAAAATCCTATAACCTGAGTGCTTTTGAAAGATGGACATTTCTTCTATAGGGTTAAACTAGGAATGGTGATGCAACCGAATGAGTGATATATAAAGGGAGTTGAGTGACATAATGAAGGTCACCTGGCTTCCAGGAAGTGTTTTTGTATATTACTAATGTACTGTTGTTAAGTTTGTCTCATTTACAGTGCAACAATGCTAGAAACGAGAGCATTATGTAAAGAGATGGTCAAGATAAA